CAAGTCTCACCTGGGGTGAGAGGTCGATCGTATTTCTATTCTCACCCCGGGTGAGAATAGCCACTTCCATGGTGTTATTAGGTTTTCAATGACGTCACAACATAGATTATATATATATACATGATAACAGAGGATTAGAGGCACTACTTGATGGTGGTCCCGACTTTTGTGACAGGGAAATATAACCCAGAGAAAATCTAGAATCTAGTTTTGACCCCAACGATGATTACTTCTGGTTCTAAGTCTAAATGATTACTTTTTGATTCGTGTGCTGGAGAGATAGCCTTTCTTCATTCAAACCTAATTGCAAAACATCAAATCATGGTCCAATTCAGGGGGGGCATGCCCCCTGAAACACCCCTTGTTTTGTTTTGTTTTCAAGTCAGGGGGGCAACCCCCCTTGCCTTGTTAAAAAAAAGTGAAATTTTACTACTCATTTTGTAGGCTAGATTTAGATCTAGATCTAGATCTAGATCTAGGGTACTGATAAAACATAAAACATTGATACCGACTATTTAAATCAGTATCAATATATATGTTTCAGTAGGACTACACAAAAGTCGGAACCACCATATAACAATGTAGTGCCGGATTAGATCTAGGTCTAGATATACTAGATCTAGATCTAGATTCTAGTAATACTTAACACCCCCCCCCCTCGTGTCGCATCTCATATTAAAGCTTGGAATCTTGTCTTTTTAATAACGAAGCTATATCTATGATTATTTATGACCAGAGAGAGCTATTTGCGGATATCGTAAAGTTACATTAATTAAGTGTGACACTCAGTCATTAAGACAAAATATAATTAGAAAGACACTATTTTAAGTTTTGGACCATGATGACTATACATCGACATGAAATACATAAATACATGTAGTACAGTAACACGTGGAACAAGTTAAAATGCGTTAATAAACATATTATTATATCTACTGTTTCACAATAAGAAAAATGGGCTTACATGTAAGTATCCTCTATTATAGATACAAAACTGATGTTTTGTGAATTGAGGCAGAGGATACCATTTCACTCTGCACATGCTCGTGAGCATTCCAGTCAGTGTTTCCGACAGGAGCAGCGTCGAGTGTCACAGTTGTCCTTGCAGGTACATGAGCACAATTTTCAGAAGGTCTGGTGGTGCTACCGACAAAGTGGTCATGATGGGAACATAATGTCCATCCTCACATTTCCATCCCCATTCTACGGGATTAAGCGTATCATTTCCCATCTATTGCTGCACCTGAAGATACATTCTTAGGCTATGATACTTAGCTGCAGCTGATGTCAGAGGGAGTGAACGCGCCTGTATAAATGCTGTGCCTGTTGCAACTTGTGCAGAAGATATGATGGCGTAGTTCATCAAGACTTTCTTCTGGTTTTCCATTACAGAAGCACAACGGCTTTCTCGCCTGAAGCAGCAACACTTTGGGCAGATTGGTTTGTCATAAAATGTGTAGTTAAGCTTCTAAGAGCATCGTTTTGTTGGACATTTTTCAAAGTAGTGCCTTTCCTGATTCCGAATGTTCTTGAGGTGGTGTCACTGTCAGTAAGGGAATGGAGAAAGAGCAGAGAATGTGGAAATGTCCCCAGTTGTATAAATAATTAATTGTTTAATATCCCATTGCTTCATTTTTAAGCTGGGGTGTTTTTGTTCCGGTAGAGATGTTATGAGCATGTTCATCAGCATAATGTGCTGACAGAAGGAGAAGATCTGTATCTTCTCCTATTACAGAGGTATCTTTGTGTTGCGCACACTTGATTGCTGTTTGGACTTTCCTAAGGTCAGCATCACATTTGCTGTACATGACAATTTGTCCTCTGTCTTCATGCACTGACCCAAGAGCATTGATAAAACATTGTTGCTAATTTTCTTTGTTGACAAGAAAAAGATCCTTTGAAGATTGGAGAACCATGTCTAACTTAAAATGAACAGCTTGTCCTGTAATTCCTTTAGCTCTTTTGAGTCGTGTCATATCTTTTGTCGACGGTCCAGACAAATATCCATAAAAAACAATGGTCACGTTTGGATAATTCCTACTGACTTAAAAAGTATATTATGTCTTAATAATACAAATGAAGGTGCTCCCTTGTTGCCGGGAATGCACTGCAGTAAAGACCCTCCATCAAACGAGGATCTGCAGGTTAGCTGGTGATGGCAGCTCAGGCGTAACCATTGTCCTTGATTTCCAAAGTTCTTCTAGCACAGCTGATTTGTTGGATTGATGAAGGATATCAGATTCAGACAATGACGAAGGGCAGCTGCAAAGTTCTTGTTTAAAAATCTCTGTCATGTCTTCATATTTTGAAGTTGCAGCTGTCACTAATCTCTGAAACAACCACTGAGAGTCAATAGTCACAGGGTCGTGGTTAGCTTTTAGAGCTGTCTTTGCAGTCATTACAACAACCCTGTCTTTTTTCTTCAAGGACAATTCTGAGACTGATCCACCTTCCATTTTGCTAAGAATAGTTTGACCAACGTCTTGTGGTTTGTCAACGTTGACAGCTGTTTTTGCAACCACCCCCGTAACAATATTTCTCAGACTAGCGTCTTCAGCCAACAGATTTCTCTCATGAAGAAACTTGGAAACAGCCATCATATCCTGTGCATCCTTTACTGATCTCGACAGACTCAGTTCTTTGTGCTGTTCACTTGAGAGACGCAACGTGCATGTCACTTTTTGCATGGTGTTATTTTGTTCTGCGCAAGCTGGCATTGATAGAAGCCACCTTGCTGTCTGTGATTTGCTGATTCCCCTGCCTCTTGTCAGTCCCCCGGTTGATTTGACACTTAACACTCATATTTGCTCAATGGCTAAATCTGAAGAAAGTCCTGCTTTAAAGTTAAAGCGCAGAATTACTTGATGGCCGTCCCAAAAAATTCTTATAGAAATGAGGGTGAGTCTCTTCTAGCCTGTTCATCATCTGGAGGTACAGATTTTGCGTATTTGAGTAAGTAATATTAGGTAAGATTAAATTAGACTACCACATTTCCAGATAATTGTTTGATTTAGGTGTATATGAAGGAACTAGGGACAGGAACGGCTAACCCTGTCACTCAGTATCACTGGATTTAGGCCAAGCATTATGTTTGGGTATATCAATGGGCAGTTATTCAACTGCTTGGAGTAAGCATGCTGAGACAGAGGGCTGGGCTGCACTGTGTCTTAAACATTTTTCTGGGCAGAACTTGTTGTTTAGAGAAAATAAAATCCGGAAGACTCATTTACATTTAGTGCCTGTGTTGGCTGCTAGGAGTTTTTAGTTGTTGTTTTTATTAATCAAATAAAAATGCTTGTGTTCCACTACAAAAAGCTCAGGGATTTTGTTTTAGTAAATTGCTGACTGATTGTTTTTCCTTCTAAAGTAACATGATGTTTTGTGCTGTTTGCAGGTAACCTCAGGTTTGTAACAGAAGTCCCAATAAGAACCTCATAATGTCAGGGGCTGGGAAACAGTCTCAGAAGAATGAGGAAAACTTCAGCAAAGTGAAGGAAAAGATGCAGAGACTGTTTGGATTTGGGAAACCATCTACACCTCCTGCCATTCCTAAAGCTACCACTAGAGAAGTTGTTTTCACAACAGAAATTTTGAAGGTATGGCTATACGCCCAAAGTTTTATTAAGTTTAATCTTGTCTGGAGGGGGTGAGGGAAGGAGTGTCTCACTGCACCTCTTGAAATAAGAGTCCTTCATGACCCTTGCCGCTCTGGATTGCACTCCAATATCCTAAAAAAAGAGTTCACCTAAGTCATTAGCTTACCCCAATGATCGTACATAACAAGATGGTTCACTCCTCTTTTTAAGCAAATTAAAAAAGTGTCCTCAGAATTCGGTGGCGCCCTCTTTGCAGATGCACACCCTTTGCAAACAGTTACCTTACTTGTGTGAAAAAAATTAAAGTGAAACTAAGAAGATTTTGAACAAATAAGAATTCAAATTTCGGAAGAACGCTTTTTTAAAATGGTTACGCTGACTTTTCTTCGTTTAATTTGACTTTAGAATGAGAGGCAAGAGGTCATTAAAAAATTTTAAACCTAAAATCTGCACTGAATGAACCCGAACAGCTGATGATCAGCCGTCGATCTGAGCACCCAAGGAGGTGCTATTCCTACTCTTCTTCTGGAGAAATGAAAGAGAGCTTCAAAACAAAGACTGCAGCGCCATCTGAAGCAATGCGCGACTTCCGGCGGACACTTTTTTGGCTGAGTGAACCATCTTGTTATGTACAACCATTGCTTACCCAGTCTGTCACTTTCACATTGCCTTTATTGGCAGTGAAATTCCATATGAAACTTGTGTCTGGCCTTTTACTCAGATATTGGTTTGTTCTACAATAAATTCTTTCCTTTCTTGGTTTTCTAATATTGTTGTATATGTTTTGCATCCACAACTCTTTCTGTTAAGTTTAAATGCTCATGATCTCCAGGATAGGATATACTGCAGTACTTCCCCATAGAAACCCTGCTACTGTGCAATGTTTCTATTTCGAATGTAAGCTGGGCCCCTTGCCAAACATTTTTGGCTGGACTATAAAGGACAGAATCGTCTTCAATAATCCGCCTCTTGTCAGTATTTGTTTTGAGTTTTCTAGTCTCTAAAGGGAACCTTTGCTGTTGTCAAACTAAAAAAGATACCCCTTCATGTTCTACTTTTTTCTGCTAAAATAAAGTGATGATGAGAGTGAGTATGGTTTTTGTTATTTCATACCCTCATCCTTCTGTAATTTTTTCACCTTTGGGTATTTTCTGTCAGGAAATTGGCCCGGAGAGCCCTGCTAACAACCGCTTGAGGAGGATACGTGAGCTCTGTGAAGTTGTCAAATTGACTAGACTGGAAGATGTGAGTGGTCCTAGCTCCTTCGTAATAAAGGCTTTTATTTTCGTTCCTATGATTTTGTTGTCATGTATTTAGGGTTTTAACTTTTTTTAAAAGCACATAGCGGTGGAATGAGTTTAATGTTGAGAATTTTTTGTAATGATAATTGACAAGGCTGTTCTTTGTTCTTTTAGAAAGAAAAATCTATGATACGAGGTCTGTCTCCGAATAAAGTTCCCCTCCTCCATAAAATCAAAAGTACGCAACCAACAACCACTAAATTTTATGACGTCATGACATCATGTCTCAGAAATCTCAACGCCAAACTGCAAGTGCATTGGTCATAGAGCTGTGACGTGTCAAGTGTGGTGTTCTCGTGCACTTTGTCCAAGGCAAATTCAAGGAAAATAACTGAGCAAAACATTGGTGCAACCTTCTCATGATATGATGTCCAAGTTGTGATCAAATTTTCAACACTTCTCGGCAAGTCTGCAGTTGACACCCATGGTGATCTATACAAAGTAATAGGGAATAATTCCCCATCAATTCAAACAGTAAGGAAATGGATTAGGGAGGTTGAAGGTGGGAGGTCTGACATGAAAGATGAAATGCACATGGAAAACATGGGGAGAGAAAAGTGATGCACATTGTTTTTTTTCGACTTGAGTGGCATCATACTGAGCTGGCTAGTCACACCTGGCGTAAATGTCAGTGGTGACTGCTACAAGTTCATCCTCAAAGACAAGCTGAGACCTGCGCTTTGCTTGAAGAATGCGTCATCCTGCCTCATGACTAAGCACCTGTTCACAAGTCCAGAGTTATGAACGAGGTTCTTGAGGAATTATTGGAACACTCGCCTTATTCACCCGATATCGCCCCATGCAACTTCCACCTCTTCCCCAAGGGGAAAGAAATGCTGCAAGGTCGGCGATTTGAGGACGAGGTCCAGATTCAAGAGGCTCTTAGAAAAGCATCCTGGACCTTGGACAAACCATCACTGACCACTGTTTTTGACGGCTGGGTACATCAAATTGAGAAATGTCTTGAACTTAACGGTTCCTACGTTGAATAGATATTTGAATAAGCTTTCTGTTGATACGAAATACAAGGTGATTTATAATTATATGTGAGGACAGCATGACAGGGAAACTTTATTCTGAGACAGACCTCGTAACTTAGGAATTTTTTTTTACTTTTCTTTTAAAAAAATTTTTTTTTCCTTTATGTTGCTGTGTCCTGCAGCATGACTAGCAATTTATGGGCTTCATGACCTCATGTGGTAAGCACTGGATCTGCTTGGTGATATGATCATTTTTCCTAGTCAATATTCCTTATAATGTATTTGATGTTCAGATACTGAAATCCAGGGTTGTATTGCATTTTATATCTGCCTCTATATTAGTTTTGATGGTGCTTTTTATATCCCTTTCAGAATGCAGTGGAAGCTCTATGGGGACAGATCAGCGACCTCTTGCAGCCACAGGTGGTTGAGGAGAACAGGCACTTGGCTCTTCGCTTCCTACATTGTCTTGTAGAGGGACAGGTCTGTGACTAATGCTGCTTTATAATTATCACAAGAGAAAAAGAGGCTTTTTTCCATGGTCAAATACTTTTCCCAACTTCGGATTCACTCATGAAAATTATGTGACACTTTTAAAATGGCTTTTTGAAATTTTTATAGTGGTCACCACAAGGGTGTTTTGTTATGCATTAAATCGGCAACTATTCATTGTGGACTTTTTTACTTCTCACAAGTATATTATATTTTCTTCAGTATGTTACTACTACGTAGGTTCAAAAGTCACCATTAGAATTAATTATGAGCAGAAGTTTTGAAATAAAGCTAACATGCCTTTTAACAACATAGGAAAATAGCTAAGTCTGAATGTTTCATAAATTTGAGTTGTTTACCTCAACAAAAGATGTGTGCCAGTGAAATTTTCATGGCCAGCTGTATTGTAGATGGATTGTGAACCTAAATAAGAAAAAGACCAGTGGCAGGAAAAACGGTACAAAAATAAAACGTTTAATACTGAAAGGAGCAAGTTTGCTGGATTTTTGATTTATCAAAATTTGATCCACTTGGTCTCATATAAGTATTGAAATGTTATGATGGTAGGCTTATACCTCATCATATCCATCATCAATGCTTTTTTCATCCTGCATCTGGGTGTAGGCTACGAACAAACAGTTTCCACATTTCCCTATCCCAGCCTAGCTTCTTGATTTTAATTTCCCTTTTTCTATACATTATTCTTTGTGACTCTTTTCCAGTTTTTGAATGGCCTTTCCCATGATTTCTAACCCGGGAGAGTCCAACCAAACAATGTCTTTGTTACACAACTGCCTCGCTTCCTGAGAGTTTGTCCTGTCCATTACCACGGCCTTCTTCTAATCTCATCTCTGACTGGGCTGTCTTGTTCTTCTTTACATTTCCTTGTTGATGATCCTTTTTGTCCATATGAGGGGCATACCAAAAGTTTTTTACCTGACCAAAAGTTTTTTTACCTGACCATGAAGGAATAAAGGTAGAAGGCTGAAATTTGGAGTGAAAGCCGACAATCATTTTTCTAGAATGCATGTCAATTTTGGGGAATTTCCAATTACTGGTTTTACCACCAGCGCACTGTGAGTGAATGGGGGTATGTTGTTCTCCATTTTCAACATACAAATGAAGAAAATTGAGCACAAGGCAGTAATGAAGTTTTTGTTTGTGCAAGGCAAGCAACAGCAGGATATTTTTACGAATATATGCATGCCGCATGTGGAACGGATTGCCCATCCTATGCTGTGATGAAATTTTGGTGTAAAAAACTCAAATGCTGATTCATGGGCATTAGAGGGCTGGTTTCCTGACAGATAGAGGGTCCTCTATTCTCAAGGTCTTTTCAAGGTCATACACTGATGGAAAAAATGTGTAACTGTGGGAGGCGACTACATAGAGAAAGACTAAGCATAGTGCCACATTTCAGCTTTCTACCTTTTTTCTTTCATGATCAGGTAAAAAACTTTTGGTATGCCCCTCATATGTATGCTGTTTCTGTACCCTGCCACTTGTCCTTACATATATATGCTCTTGATGAGGTTCACAAATTTCTGTGATATCCCCGTGTCTTCCACAGTGTTGCTTAGTCTATGCTGTCAAAGGCCTTCTCATAGTCAAGAGAGTTGGCAAAGACTCATTCCTGCTTTTGTCGTTATTTTGTTTTAAAAAATACTGAATACCTCTGTTCAACTTGCAATTCCATACTTGGCAGTCACAGTCAGTAGAAACAGAATGTGGTAGTGACAGAATGCACCTAACAGGTTGCTGTGTTGTACATCCTTTGGGAATGCAGGTGGTAAATGGGAATGTACTCACAAGTCAAGAGAGTCATATGCAAAGTCACTTGAGCCTTCTATAAGAGGATTGATGACTATTAGTAGTCACTTTAAGAAATGTTACTCTTTATTTCCCACTGTAGCTGCCGTACTTGACGATCGTCCGTGGCCATTTCTTCAGGGTGATCCAGGGCCTCACAGACCCAGCTGACATTCAGTACAGGTAAAGAGTGTATACATACACACACACACACACACACACACACACACACACACACACACACACACACAAATGCACACACAATCACACACACACACACACTCACATACACACAATCACACACACACACACATACACACAATCACGCACACACACAATCACATTTGGACATTCTTCATTCTTAATATGCCCGTATACGTGCTATTGAACACACTCACATGCCTGTACACAGACACACAAACACACACGCACATTCAGACATGCTCTCCCCTTTTCTTATCTCTCTTTCCTTTCACTATTTCTGTCTTTTCTATCACTGTCAGGGAGCAGGAATGGCCAGGAAGTTATTTAAAGAGCAGTTTCTTAGTTTTGTTTTCTGTTAATGAGTTGGAACTGTTTGTCTATCTCGGTCATCGTTCATTCATGATTTTTTATGCAAAAGTCCTCTTAACTAAGTGTGTGTGTGCATGTGCATGCGTGTGCATGCGTGTGCATGCTTGTGTGTGTGTGTGTGTGTGTGTGTGTGGGTGATTGGGTTGGTGTTTCAGATCTTTTAAAGAAAAAAAGTTCTCTTATCTTTGCTTTGTTTTTAAATTAACCTAGCTGCTGGGTTTTGCATTTCAGACTTCAGCTATTTGACACCCTGAGTGAGTGTGGGAAGAACTTACTCTACTTTGAGGATGAAACAGGTAGGTTGGAAAGTTTCTGACCCTTTGACCTTTGCTTCTCTCTTGGCAGCCTGATAAGGTTGTTGTTATTGTTGTTGTGTTGTAGATGTTGACAGAGGCTAACTCTCACTTGGCAGAATGGAGGTTGGGAGGTTGGAGTATGCCTCTGTATTGTACTATATATGGTCCTATTTCCTTACTTCCCCTCTGTTGTTTTTGCATATGAGCCATTGCCAAAACGTGGGGAAAAACACATACATCTCACATTAGTGTGCATAAAATGTGATGCATTAGTATTTATTCCTCCAAAACTTATACATATGTTAAATATAGGATGTAGAACCTGGATTAGCAGTTTCAGACCCAGTGTCAGCTTTACAATCTTGAGTTCGTAAATTTTTTGCCAAAAATGTTTGGTTTTTTGTGATTCCTGGACTGTCATTTTGAGCTCACCAATGCAAACTTCCAAGAATGTCCAAAATTTAGTATTTTTGGGTGTTTTTTTTTAACCTGTGCTTTGATTCTATGCTATTTGTGATCGAGAAAGGTTCACTTGCTCAAGAAATCGGTTTATTTGTTTGCAAATAAACGAATAATTCGGATCACTTGTGCATCAGTGGTGTCGTCACGGACTAGGTGTTTCAGAAAACACCATTATTTTTCAGTAGAACCACCACAGCTGGTTAAATCTTTTTGCTTTTTGCGAAAGGAACATTGGGTTCCTAGATCTACGATTTCGGTCGGCTGTTTAACATTCGCCGTTAATGGCGTCACTTTGCGACGTACCGGAAGTCCGAATTTTAGCCTACTTTTGTTTTGAACGGATCATCAACAGTGCCCGGATATATTTGTTTTCTTGAGTGACTTCCCCTTACCCGCTTCCCCAGAACAGCAGAAGCAACGGGGGAAACAGAAAAACGAAAGTAGTCATTGCCATCACCCTCCGGTTACGCACAAGAATCTTGCGTTGAATGTGACGTACTGGACTGTTTTGCGTGTTTTTAGGCTACTCTGTTGAATATTTTTGTGAAATTGCGGTGTTTACATTGGATTCCTGGAACAAGAGTGTGATGTGTGAACAAACTTCGAGAGATGGATCATTTCTGTGGTTATAGATTTAGCTTTTGTGCTTAGTGATTACGTTTGGGGTGTCGTCATGCAGCCGTACAAGACTGACTGACGTACTAGAAATTACATTGTCCTAAGAGCAAACATTTATGTCATGTGTGCTCTTTTTACTCAAACAAATAAACAAACAGGTCCTTGTTTATCTGTCTAACTCAAAAGTACACATTTGTTCTTTGTTGGCATGATATGCCTTTTTCCAATACATTGTGTCATTGTGTCATCATTGTTATGTACAAGTAATATTTTTCATAATTGCTAATATCAATAAGTTTTCAACATATATTTCATACATGCAAGATTCATTTAGAAACAAAATATGCCTTTATTGATCTGTGTATCTCATAGTGCAAATTTGTTCTTTGTAGGCATGATTTTACCTTTTCCCAGTATGTTGTGTCATCACTGTTATGTACGAGTACTGTTTGTCATAATTAGCAACGTAATTGTGATTGTCTACTGTCTTTGATATGACCTGATATCTGTTTCAAAGCAAAAGAAACCTCTCCTGGTTTTTTAAAAAATTCTTAAAGTGTGCATTTCTCTCTGGAGGCATGACTTTGTCTTTTCCTGTACATTGTGTCATCATTGTTATGTACAAGTCATGTTTGTCATCACTGTTATGCACAAGTCAGCCCCATTGATTTTGTGCTTTTGCCTCATATTAGTTTAAAAATTGTTTTACACATGTGTTTTTCTGGTGCTGAGGCTTTGATAACTGTATTTATACAGCCTTTCACTATTGTGATGTGTTGTCAGTGATAATGTCCAATGTGTATCCTTTCTTGTACATAACAATGATGACATGTTCTGTGCACTGCGTCATTTTTACAATGCTTGTCATTCATATTACCATTATGAATGGAGTTCATAGTGTACAAAGTGTTTGTTTACTAAACAAATGGAATTTAAAGTCTATAATTTGCCTTGCTGCTTATCTGTTTTTGTCATCACTGTTACATACAAGAAATACAGTAGTTGCCAAACCAATAGACCCATATCTCCAAAACCCTACATCTCCTTGCTCTGATACTCTAGGAATATGAGCTCTAAATGTCAATCTGAGACTGACAGAAAAGGGAGTCAAATTGGTAAGAAAAAAATTTTGGAACCACTGAGTCTCAAGAGAGTCTCACGTTTTGGCAATTGCTCATATAAGTCTTTCTTTTTCCTTACAATAAAATTATTATTATTTTGTAGATGTGCTTCTCATTACTCATTCTTTCTAGGCACAATGTAGGCTATTTTAAATGTTGAACCTTTAGATCCCAGTCCAGGAGAAAGAGCTGTGAAGACGTATTTTGAGAAAAAAGAGCAAGATGATCTGCTTGTTTTTCATTTTTATGTTTTACGTTGGCCTACCTCACTTTTTTTTTTTTCCTGAATGCACCTCCCACTGATGAAAAGAGCAAACACAAGAACCTGTAGTCTGACATATGTTCATGTGTTTGTGTTTATGGTACTTCACCTATGATTGTAAATTGTTGTGGCTTATGTTGAGTGTAGTCATGTGACATCAGGAGTTGTACATATCTGTCCCAGGTGTGTTCCTGCAGCTCTGGATGCCCGAGGTCATGTCGGCAGGCTATGTGGCCAGCTTCCTGCCCATCATCCTCAACGTGATCAAGTACAATGCAGCTTACGTTGACGAGGATGTCATGGCTGGACTGGTCCAGTAAGCGAATACTTTGTAGTCAGTTACAGGAGAAGTGGGATAGTTAACAAGCGCTAGGGGTTTGTGTGATTGTTTTGAAAAAAAAAAAATTTTCAGGCCTGACATGTGCTACGATAGAATTGAATTAATTCAAATTTTTTTAAACAGCTTTGCCTCAAGACAAATTTTTTTTTTTCTAAATACTGTCAGACCATGAGAGTGACGTTAAATATTGTGGAAATAAACACTGCTATGATGATATACAGTGCAAATACCGATTATTTCTGTTCCTGATTCACTTCCACTCCTCAAGTCCTCAGGGAATAAAATTTAAAGTAGTTGGTCATATGACTTTATCAACTAATGAGCTGTAAAATTTTAAAATAATTTTTCCAAATCATGTGATCACAAGGTAGATTACTCCTTATAAGAAACTTCAAACGCAGGCTAGATTTGGTTTATTTTTGCATCTGGCTCGCTCATTGTTTTATTTTCAACTGTCAATTCTTTTCATATTTGTGACCTGCTGGAGTCTTGATGATGCTTATGTGGGGTTACTGAGAAATTGTCCTTCTTTTGGTCGTCAAGGGGTTGGGTAGGCCCACAATAGATGTTCTGAGATGGTTCAGTTCAAATGTCATAGAAATGTCGTATTAAAATCCAAAATCTCTTGCTTAGTTGAAATAACACTGTGGGCCCCTGTCTGTAGTTTGTTGTCATTATAGTATAGTGAGTTAACCTGCTCAAATGAAAAGAAAATCTCTTGTTGTTCCTTGAAAAGTTTGCATTGGTTCTGTTTTTGCCTCCAAAGTGTGTTTCTCTAAAAAAAAAAAAAGAGTCTCACTGACTGACTCAATTTGTTGTCAAGCACTTTGCTAAATCAACATAATATATTGTCAGGCTAACTCTTCTTCTGACTTAGGGTTATAAAAGATATCATGGTTCATTAACCAATCGTTATTTCCTCTAGAATTACGTTCATAGAACTTCTGTGTTGCTTTTACTTAATTAGTACCAGTGGGCAATGTTGGCACACCACACAACAGTTTTTGGTCTGCATTAGTCTTGTTTTTTTACGCCCTGTGATGATTGTGCTTATGGCTAAATAGGCCTGTGCCTTGCAGCCAATGTCAGGTGCCTAAGTTCAAAGACAGGATGGATGCAGTGTGCTTTGTTGTGTCATATTTTGTATCTAGGTGATTTGCCCCTCTGGGCGTATTTGTTGTACATTCGTCTTCCTACTCCCGTCCCCATCCCTTTAAAGAGAATGTCAGCCTTATCTGGGTTTACAAAAGTCTTTTATTTGTCACCTCAGGCAGACCTGTATGATCCCCAACCGCTCTCGCTGTGATGATGAACTTAAGGTCAGTTTGGTTTGGTACATAAGACATGTGTTTAATTCCCCGTTTCGTTCTGTAAAGTTTTTGAAAAGGCACCACTTCTGATTTTAAGGTTTGTCTCCAGTAAGACCTAGCTCATCGGGTAGAGGGTTTGTTTGGTGGGTTTTCTTCTAATTGACGCAGCCTTGTCAGCGATGGGTGTTGAGATCAGAGATTTTTTACTGTTTAGTCACCTCTTAACAAACTGACATAATGTTCTTTCACTATTTTTAAAACTGTTGTAAACAACATCTACCTTGACCATGTCGGACTGAATAGAATGTGAGTTCTCTCTGGGGTAGGTTCTACTTCTTTACTTTTCCTCAATTGTCTCTGTTTTTTGCCTTGCTTTTCCTGACCCTAAATGGCTATTTTCACATTGATGGGCTTCTACTCTACTTTAATCTGATATTTATTTATCATAACCATATTTTCTTTGCCATGATGACAGTAGTTGCAACCACTTGTCAAGCAGCTGGTCAAAATGAGGCTTAGGTCAAGCAAGATGAAAGTCTGTTGGATCAAAATTCAAAACCTGGAAATTCTCAGATTGCAAAGACTCTTTTTATATAGGGTCTTCATGCTAGAATCGTTTGTCCTACTGAGCTGGAGATGGCCTTGGCAGGCAGTTCCAAGAACTCCTTCTCCTAAATGATGCAAATTTTGTCTGTTTGAGCTTAATACATTTATAATCAAATTATTTTCTTTGTGGCATAAATGATAAACTTCATTTTATCTGGCTGCGTGACATCTAGGGATCCATATAGCCTTGAGCTGCGAGTTGTGTAGCTTGCTGGTTCATTATGTCAGTGTATGTGTCCCCAGAAATGCCTACAGGTCCTGGATGCAGTCATCTGCTACAGCTACCTGCCCTCCAACTGCCTGCACCACTTTGTGGCCGCACTGTGTCACACAGTCGACAAGGCACTCTTCAGTGAGAAGTCTTGGGAGGTGAGTCAGTGAGTGAGAAAGTGATATAATTAATGTGTGCAGGTCATGTGTGTGTGTGTG